CTGCCAGAGGGCAAGGGTAGATGGGATATTGGGAAGGAATTGTTGGCTGTGAGGGTGTTGAGGCACTGGCACAGGTTGCCCAGAGTAGCTGTGGCTGCTGCCCCATCCCGGGAAGTGTTCCAGGCCAGGTTGGATGGGGCTTGGAGCAACCTGTTGTAGTTGAAGGTGTCCCTGCCCATGGCAGGGTGTGGGACTGGATAGCCTTTACACTCAAACACTCCTGGGATTCTGCTTCTGCTGTGTGGCTGTTTGGATCCCACAGCTGGGCTGGGCTGGGGTGAGGGCTGCGGTCACTTGTGCTGCTGGGGCACAGAGTGGGGTTAGGGAGTGAATTCACTCCTGTTCAGAGTTTTTGGCATGGATACAGTCAGATTGAAGGCAGGTTTAGCATAAACAGGTGCTAAACTGGCTCAGTGTCTGCTCCAAAACCACAGTGGGGTCATTTGAATCTAAGATGTCATTAGGATAATAGGAAGCTTACCTGCTCGGAATAAGCCCTTCTGCCTGCTCCAAAACATTTCCCTGTCCCTCCTAACACACAAGGCTGGGAGGGATTTGTGTCTTCATCTGTGTAATTGGATACTGCTGGAGATGGAAAATGTGGACTATAGGTTTTCCTCAGTTCTGTGGGCCGAGGGAGCGATAAGATAGCAGACCAGGAATGTGAACAGGCACTGGCACTGCCCATCTCCACATCCCAAATCTCCCTGTGTCCTGCCTGGCGATTCCAACTCCACCCTGTGCTACCTAAATGTTGGGGGGGGTTGTGTTTTGTGACTGATTTAAAGCCAAAAATGCACATTGGGTAAAGGGTCTGGGGTGTCCAATTGTGCACAGAGGTGTTGTCTCCCAAAGCTGTTGTTTTGTCCTTGTGCTCTCAGGAAAAATTTCCAAACAAAGGATTTGGCAGGGCTGGCAGCTCCTTTTCTCCCTCTGGAGGTCTTACAGCAAAGTGAAGACTGAACCTGGTGGCATAGCCAGACACCAGTGCCCATGCCCTGGATAATCCCCCCACATCCCGGTAGGAAGCAACGCGCCCCAGACAAGAGGTGACAGGGTGGCTCTGGGTGACCTGCCAAGGGCTCGGCTATGCCACAGCCATGCCAGAGCTGTCCCTGTGCGGCTCTCCAGGAACACTGTCCCTCTTTGCCCCAGCTCCTGCCCAGCCCGGTGTGCTGCCTGGCTGGGAATTTCCCCTTTCACTGGCACTTCAGGATGCTGCAGGGTCACAGCACAGGGACTCCTTTCAGCAGCCCTGGGAGCCCCTGGGATGTTGCCTGGAGGCTGTAACAGAAACCGAGGGGTGATTATTGGGAGTTGTTTTTCCCCAAATCCCTTGTTTTCTGTTAAGTTGCAGTGGGATAAAAACAACCTGGTGTCTGTCAAAGCCAGCAGCCTTCTGGGGATGCTCCCAGGATTCCAGCACTGGGATGTAGCTGGTGGTCTTCATGTACCAGCACTGAGGTTGCCCACCCAGCTCCACATTGCTGATCCAACCAAGGCCTGGACAAGCTGTTTCCATAGCAGAAATTCTGCCCAGCAGGACCTGTGGGACATCTTGGTGAGCACTTGTCCATGTGCTGCTGGAAGAGCCACCAGATCCCTGCAGGATCCATTTCATGGATCCTTCCCAGTGCTGGGGACTGGGATGTTGTTGTCCCACTGACCCAGAGCCTAGTGTTGCCCTCGGAGGATGCTCCAAGTGGATTTCATCAACCTGCAGATCTGGTTTTCTCGGCTGCTCCAGTGTTGGGTTCCTCCAAGTGTACCAGAGTCCTGGAGGTGATTAAATACCTGTGATCTGTCATGGAAGGGGTGAGG